TTTTAACTCTCCCTTCCACTTCCCCAAATACTCCCCCCATCCCACAGTGCTTCTGGCTTCCTCCACAGACACCTTCACCTCCCACCTCCCACCTCCCACCTCCCCTCAGTGTTTCAATCCCTTTGGCTGCCAAACCAACTTTGGCTGTTCTTATTTGAGTGTGGCGTGTTATTAGTTTGGTTGTGGGTTTCTTTTATCTCATGAACAGCAGTTGGTGCTTCGGCTCACTGGTGGGCTTGACTAAACACGCGTGTGCCATTTGCAGGGGAGATCTGTGGCTTCAGGATTCATGGGCAGAACGTGCCGTTCGCGGCGGTGGTGTTGGATAAGTCCACTGGCGAGGGCGTGATCCGGGCCAAGGATAAACTGGATTGTGAGCTGCAAAAGGAGCATACCTTCACCATCCAGGCCTATGACTGTGGAGAGGGACCTGATGGCGGCAACATGAAGAAATCTCACAAGTGCGTATCTGGTTTGGCAGATTTTAATGATAAAATAGAGATTACTGGAAATAATGGTGGGAATGGCACCAGAATGCGGCCAAAATGGTTCGCATAAGCATCCTAGTTGCTTCAACGTGTCAAAATGTGATTAAAAGTGTAGCGTTGGTAAGATTTTTGCATATATTTGATAAAAAATGCAGCAAATATTGTGAAATATTAGAATCATTTAAAGGTGACATATCATGAAAATCTGACTTTTCCAGGTTTTAAGTGCTATAATCAGGTCCCCGGTGCATCTACCAAACAAGGAAACATGAAAAAGATTAACCCAGTAACTTTGTTTTTGGAAGCCTTTTTCTGCAATCGTCTGAGAAAACGAGCGCATCTGATTTCGCTCCTTTGGTGACGTGGCAAAGGGATCTCATTATAATATTACCGCCCCTTAATCTGCACGTTTCCACCCATGGTGCCATTATTGTGTTTTCGCAAGCGACAACGGTGTACTAGTTCTAATGCCATGGCGAAAGTTTGAGCAAAACATGCTAACTGTTCTGTCTTTAGCTGCACAGACGAGCACAGAACACTATTTACAGTCCCAGCCTCAGAGGAGACAAGAGAGCAGTGGATTTATTGATTTATTTAATGTATATTGCTGCTGCCAAACAGATCTAAAATAAACATGTGATTTATTTCCCAGCTGTTTACCTTCACAGACATAACCGACTGTTTTTTTGTAACTCGTGTGTTTTTAACGTAAACTTGTGTGTGAATGAGTACTCACATGCTGTGACAGCCGCTTTCTGTCCGTGTGCTTCGGATGTGTGCTCTCAGAAAACCGTATATCAGAAGTTTAAACTAATATGGTTTAAAATGCATGATTTCAGCGCGATAAACATGATAATCAGAACCAAAACAGATTTTAACAGTTTTTAGCAGGTACGAGCTGTAATGGCGAAGCTCTATTCTGGAAAAGGGGGCGGGGAGCAGCAGCTCATTTGCATTTAAAGAGACAGGCCCGAAAAACAGCGTGTTTCTGCTTCCACAAAATAGGAATTTTCAAAATGATATAATAAATGATCTGTGGAGCATTTTGAGCTGAAACTTCACAGACACATTCTGGGGACACCAGAGACTTATGTTACATATTGTAAAAAGGGGCATAATATGTCTCCTTTAAAATAACTGTTTTCTATTTTAATATATTTTGAAATGTAATTTTCAGCAGCCATTACTCCAGTCTTCAGTGTCAAATGATCCTTCAGAAATAATTCTTATAAGTGATTTGGCGCTCAATAAACAATTTTCTTTTAATTATTATCAATGTTGAAAACAGTTGTGCTGCTTAATATTTTTCTGGAAACCATGACGTTTTTTTTTTCAAGACTCATTTGTAACTTTGTATCTTTTATAACATTATAAATGTCTTTACTGTCACTTTTGATAAGTTCAATGAATCTTTGCTGATTAAAATTATTAATTTTGTTTAAAAAAATTCTTATTGACCCCAAACTTTTCAACGTTGTGTATATGATATGATGTATATGCAAATAAAACAAAAATTATTGAAGCATGTTTTACAAGAAAATGCTATTCCAGTTTTCCTTCTTCAAAATTTCACACTTAATTCAACATGTTGCTTGTTGTTTCTTTGTAATTGTGAAATTTACTAGCAATTTCTGAGTGAAAAGTTTCTACACCATTTATTTTCAGTGTAACAAATAATTAATGAATTTCCATAAACACTATGGTTAAGTCAGCTGTAAGTTAAGTTTTACATTAGATGCATACAAGATTTGCTGTACACAACAACTTGATATTAATCAAATTCAGCATTGAAAAATGACATAATTTAGTAAACCTATTCTATTCTATTCCCACTTGTAGTTAAATTTAAAAAGGTAAAGGCCAGACACCATTTATTTGTTTAGATCTATCATGTATATAGAGAACATCTAGGGATTCATTTGACCCATGCTTTTTATTTGATGTCTTTTAATTTCTTTTTTTTTTTTTTTTGTGGCGTTCAGCAGCCATATACCCATGATATCACATTTGAAATATTACAACACTGGAGGTTCCTGTGAAAGACTGTGTCCCATTAGATAATGCATAAATGAATTATCCATCTGTTAACAATCAAGACTTGCGTCACTGGCATGTGTATTCCTGCTTGTCCAATTCAAGTTTATTAATCAAGCTTTGATGTCCCCTAGGGCTACCGTCCACATCCAAGTGAATGACATGAATGAGTATTCACCGGTGTTCAAAGAGAAGTCCTACAAAGCCACAGTGATCGAGGGCAAAAAGTATGACAGCGTCCTGAAGGTGGAGGCTGTGGACGCTGACTGCTCTTTCCAGTTCAGTCAGATCTGCAGCTATGAGATTGTCACCCCAGATGTGCCCTTTACCATTGACAAGGATGGTAAGTGCTGCCAATTCAGATCTCCTGCCAAAACTCCAAGTTATATCCCTACCAGTGATATTGACATCTAGATCAGTGGTTCCCAAACCTGTCCTGGAGGCCCCCCTGCCCTGCACCTTTTGTATGTCTCCCTTATCTAACACACCTGATTCCACTCATCAGCTCGTTAGTAGAGACTGCAAGAACTAAATTGGGTGTGTCTGATTAGGGAGACATACAAAATGTGCAGGGCAGGGGGTCCTCCAGGACAGGTTTGGGAACCACTGATCTAGATCATTGTTATTCATGTGCCTATAAAAATTGATTTGTGGAAACAAGCAGCCATTTTAGAATCAGTAGCATACCTAATGTTGACATTAGCAATCTGTCACCTTGAGTTCTGGCCTGAATTTAAGCATGATAATTTCGATTTGGCTTACCTAGCTGGTGAGGTCATTGCTTGTTAATTCTCCTCATAAACAGGCAACATCAAGAACACAGAGAAGCTGAACTACAGCAAGGAACGCATGTACAAGCTCACTGTGACCGCATATGACTGCGGTAAAAACCGTGCGTCTGAGGACGTTCTTGTGAAAATCAACATCAAACCCACCTGCAAACCAAGCTGGCAAGGTATCAAAGAACTCTGGATCTTTTGTCCCTCATACACTCAAGCAAACGCAGGAGTATTATTTTGTGGTTTATAGCTGGAAAGCTCAGCTATCAAGGTCAGTTTGGTTTGAGCCGATGCAAGTGCACAACTTTGTGTTTCAACTAGTGGTCGACCGATATATCGCCAAGGCCAATATATCGGCCGATATTTGGCATTTTTCAAATATCGGCATCGGCCGAAAAGTTTTTATTTTGAACTTTTATTTTGACGGCGCGCCAGACTTTTATTTTGATGGCGCTGAGAACGGCAGTAATAAAAAGGCAAACATTATAATACTTTCTCGTTTGCCGTCAGCATTCAGCAAATATGCATTTACATCATTTAAACAAATCTTTGAATGGCTAATGAAAATTTTATTTCACAAACCTTGCAAACTTAGTCGAATCCAGTTGTGAGATCTTGTGAAGTGTGCATGTGACCTGCATGATCGCGTGTTCTCTGCGTGACTTTCGGTCCATGCAAAATGAATGCTTTAAACATTAAATTCGTGATTTTAAATTATGCTGCGCTTTATGCATTTGCCCACTGTCATATTCATGTCATTTTCACTGTGTGCTGTATGTAAAATGAGTGTTACCTTGGCTTTATTTGAAAAAATATGATTCCCAATGCACACAATCTTCCCAGAATACTGAGTGCTCTGTTGGTTACAGTTTACTTGCTTTTTAATTATATTTTTATTAAATATTTATTTATTTGTGAAAAATACTTTGTCATCTAAAGTATAAGTATGTTTATTTTACAAATTTATTTTTTTAATCCATTAAAAATCCCTTAAATATTAATTAAAATAAATACAATTATATCGGTTTTATATCGGTCATCGGCCACCTTGCTTTCCAAGATATCGGCATCGGCTGTCAAAAAAACAATATCGGTCGACCACTAGTTTCAACATGTTGTTTGTGTACATGGTAACAGTTTAAAAGCCAAATCCACCATTATCACTAATAGTTCAACACTATCTGTTAGGGCTGTCCATCCATAAAAAAAAAAATATTTAAGTAAAAAAAAAAAAGAAGGTTGTTTGCTGTTGGTTTTATGTTAACTAATGTTAATGTATACAGCGTTTAATGTTAAAATATTTAATAATACACTACTGTTCAGATGTTTGGGGTCGGTAAGATAATTTGATGTATTTTTTTTTTTTTGCAAGAAATCAGTATATTTACTTATTGACATATATTTATTTTATTCAGCAAGGATGCATTAAATTGATAAAAAAATGACAGTAAAAACATTTATTCAAATGTTCCAAAAGATTTCTATTTCAAATTAATGCTGTTCTTTTGAATTTTCTATTCATCAAATGAATCCTGAATTCCATAGAAATATTAAGCATCATAACTCTTTTTGACATTTTTTGACATTATGAATGTTCCTTGAGCACCAAATCAGCATATTAGGATGATTTCTGAAGAATCATGTGACACTGAAGACGAGTAAAAAAAAATCAGCTTTGCATCACAGGAATAAATTACTTTTTAAAATATATAAAAATAGAAAACAGTTATTTTAAATTGTAATAATATTTCACAACAATACTGTTTTTACTTTGTTTTTGATCAAATAAAAGCAGTTTTTTGTTTTTCAAAATCATACCGATCCCAAACTTTTGAATGTTATTATATGTAAATCATATATTAAGTATTGTTTATTCTTAACTAGTATTAGCATGTACAACCTTATTGTAAAGCGTTACTAAATACTCGTTGTGAGTCTGTTTTGTGAATGACACATTTTCTCTTTGATGTTGATAGGATTTAATAAAAGGATTGAATATGAGCCTGGTACAGGAAGTCTAGCCCTGTTCCCCAGCATGCACCTGGAGACCTGCGAGGAGCCAATCACCTCCATTCAGGTCAGCATCATGCTGGAGACTAATCACATCGGCAAGGGTTGTGACCGCGACACGTACTCCGAAAAATCCCTGCACAAGCTGTGCGGTGAGTCCAGACTTCCTTATTGTTATTGAGTTACATTAACATCAAGATCATTAAATGTGCTTATTACATTAAGCAACTAAATTTGTAAACTATTTTAGACTAATTTACATAATCGTATTACCTCCATAATCACACAGGCACATGCTGAACCATGATGCAAACACTGTTTTGGGATACTCTAATGAATAACTGTTTGTGTGCCCATCCAGGTGCCAGCGCTGGCACTGTGGAGCTGTTGCCTGCTCCCAGCAACTCTGCCAACTGGACTGTTGGCTTGCCCACTGACAATGGGCACGACAGCGACCAGGTGTTTGAGTTTAATGGCACCCAGGCCATCAAGGTCCCTGAGGGTGTGGTGAGCACCACCCTGAAAGAGCCCTTCACCATCTCAGTGTGGATGAGACACGGACCTGGAGGCAGGGAGAAGGAGACCATACTCTGCAACTCTGACAAGACCGGTAATGACATTCACACACTGACAGGACTGAGAGGGATGTGTTATTTGTGTGTCCTCTTCATCTTTTTACTTCAGTAGGGCTGTCAAAATCATCATGTTATTTCATGCGATTAATTTAATGTGTTATTAACACTGTTAACACATTTATTTAATTTAACACTATAATGGATAAAGTGATGTACTTGACCGCACTGTTTTATTGCGGCTTTTTATTTTTTTAATCTATTATTTTATTTCTGTTATTATTATTGTTGTTGTATTTTAGTTTCATCTCATGATATCTACCAGGCATTATGTGGAGTATTACAAAAAATAATCACTTTAATAATTCCTTTTGTTGGTTTTATGTAAATGTATATACATAAATATACACAACTGTTCAAAAGTGTGGGGTCAATAATTTTTAAAGAAATTAATACATTTTTCAGCAAGGATGCATTAAATTGTTCAAATGTGACCGTAAAGACATTTCTTATTATTTTATTTTATTTTTTATTTTTTTTAATTTGTCTGTTTGTCACATTTTATGTGTGATATTCCAAAAAATAATCACTTATAATCTTTTTCCAAATATACAGTGTTCCAGGGTTATTTACATTCAAACACGCACACACATATTCTGAAATACGTGTCATTACACAAATTGCTGTATTGTTTTGTTTTCTTTCCTTTAAAAGGAATTGAATGCATTAACTACAAAAGAAAAACATATAATGTTTGAAAATATATAACAATATATTTAGCAATGCTGTAAAAATTTCACTGAGTAGCGTTTCATTATGTTTTTGAAGGTTATGCAAGGGTTGCTTGTAGTAGTTCTGTGAAATGGGAATCTCACTCTCTGGTCATTGAAGCTAAATTCTCAGTGCTAGAAAAAGCTCATCAGCTGGCCCTTATGTAAGGCTGATTACATCACAGTTATGCCCCCATTTATGGGTTCTTAGAATTGACAAGACAGTTGACCCTGAGAGGTCAAGTAAATATCTACAGCGGATCTAAATATTCATAATTAATTATAACTAGTTATGATTAATTATTCATATTTCCTCATGAGCTGATTCGTTACAGGAAATTGCTCAGTGTTTTCTAGGAGAGTGTGGCTGCAGCAATCCATGCATACTTGGATATGTGTACAGTGCACATTAAATCTGTTTATCCGCATTTGAGTGTGAAAAACTCACAAATTTGTAACATGCAATCTGTCATGTGATAAACAAGTGATATTAAAAATTGTTTTTTATTTTTCAAGCTCTATCTTTGTACTCAGCGGGTGTTGCATTCCTTCGGTTCAAAAGACGTGAAATAAAAAGCACCCTTCCACAAAAAAAAGTGTCTCACACGGCTCCAGGGGATGAACAGAGGCCTCCTGTAGCGAATCGATGTGTTTTTGTAAGAAAAATATCCATATTCAAAACGTAATAATCACTTGAATCTAGCTTGCGCACACTGTTGTACACGGAAGCAGTTCCGGGGGAATTACGTATGAGAAGGATGACTTGAGGGTGAGTAATTTATGGGCTAATTTTCATTTTTGGGTGAACTAACCCTTTAACATGAATTATCATTGACAGAAGTGTGGTTTTTATTCTTGTATATGTGTCTTCTGCAGAGATGAACAGGCACCACTATTCCCTGTACGTACACAACTGTCGTCTAGTGCTGCTGCTGCGTCAGGAACCCACCGAATCCGAGAACTACAAACCAGCTGAATTCCACTGGAAACTCGATCAAGTGAGTCAACTTGAGCCTCTTCAGAAGCACTCAGTTTTGAAAGACGCATTTGTGTTATTAAATGCTATGTTTAGCTACTAGCAGTGAATAGGTCACATCATGTGTTGAATTAGGGCGTAAACATACTTAAGTAAAGCTGTTGATCCATAACATTCTCTTTCTAAATAGTCCATATTACACTTTCTACCAGTAAAAGTGCATTTTTATACATGAAAATATATGCCTGCCAAATTATATTTTAGGAAGGGGGTTGCTTGCTAGAGCATTGTCATAACTGAGGGTCCTTAACATTAAAAACATTAAAATACCTTTTTTTACGCAAACTTAATTGTACATTTAGGACGGCACAAGTTTTTCTGAATGCTTTAGCTAATGCAATCTGTAGTTAAACCGAGGCCCTGATCTAGTATCTCTCCTCCCAGGTGTGTGATAAAGAATGGCATCACTATGTGTTGAACATCGAGTTCCCAACAGTGACTTTGTTTGTGGATGGTGCCACCTTTGAGCCCTTCCTGGTCACGGAGGATTACCCTCTGCATGCCTCCAAGATCGAAACCCAGCTCACCATCGGCGCCTGCTGGCAAGGTACTCTCTCTAATGATCTATTGATTCTCTTCACACACAATGATGCAACCTCAGGTTTAGACTTGAAAGCTCTTTGTCGCCAGCTGCAGTTGAAATTTAAGCATGGTCTGTATTAGTAAGTAGTTTGTCTTCGCAATTTGTAGAGTTGCTTATTTCATAACCCCAGTCATAGATGTAATATGACATTTTTAACATGTCATGAATTAGATAACCTTTTAAAGACTTTTAATCTAAAAATGTTTTGTGGCTTTTATTCCATGTCATTTTTATACTAGTGTACTTCTAAAATTTTAATAAAAAATAAATACAATTTTACTATTATTATTTTTATTTAGGGTACAAGCACGAAGAACAGAAACCCTATCGTTTATGTAGGGATTTTTACTCTTATTGTTATTATTATTAAATGACAGTATTATTATTAATAACCCGTGTTGGGGGTAACGCATTACAAGTAATGCGAGTTACATAATCAGATTACTTTTTTCAAGTAACTAGTCAAGTAACGCATTACTTTACATGAAAATATCTTTTTATTTTAATTTATTTTATTTGACCATTTATTCACTAACACCTCTCCTTTTCGCCATGTTGAGAGAAATTAGGAATCAGCCTGAGGCTTAATAATATCACTCTTGGTGTGAAAGGGCCTTTACAGGTTTCAAAAATGTAGCTTTTGTTTTTTTGTTATTAAAAATGAATAAGCAAGCCCAGCTCAGGTGACAAAAAGTAATGCATTACTTTCCATAAAAAGTAACTAAGTAACGCAGTTAGTTACTTTTTTATGGAGTAACGCAATATTGTAATGCAATACTTTTAAAAGTAACTTTCCCCAACACTGTTAATAACCATTGGTAGTTGTATTCAATATTTTTCAAATAAATTACATTTAATCAGTTGAATTAAATACTTACATAAAATATTTATATAGTGTTTTACATATATTTGTTCAATAAAATGCTCTCTAGAATTAGAATTCTTTCTTGGCGTCTTTAATGCATGACACCATGTATCAAGTGACTTTATTTCCCTTGACTATATTGAGCCCTGGTCTTTCCCTGCTCTTCTGTCTTACCTCCACAGACCTCTCAGGACATGACAATGATACTGAGACTCTCTCAGAGACTTTGACAGGTTGCCCTTATCTTTCCTTATCACCCCAATATGTCAAAAGAGCACGTCTATTAACGCCCTGTGCATGTGCGGTTCTTCTGCAGCGTGACGTATGGCTGCAGGAGGACCGTTTATGCACAGCTTCAGTCTGCAATGGCATAACATTTGTAGCATAATGCGACAGAGTTGAGAGACGCCATGTCATATACCCTGCCTGACTTGTTCTTCATTCTGTTTTCTTAATTCATCAGTCTAGTTCCATCTAATTTCAGTTTGCTTCCAGATCTGGAGAAGTATACAGCACACAGTATATTAGAAGCAAAACAAGTCCAACTGACCTTGGGGATCTGCATGTTTTTATGATAAATCAGAGGGTTTGGCTGCATTCCTTGCTGCAGTTTGCAGGATTATTTATGCCAGTGGTATCAGTGCAGCAGACAGTGTCTCATTTCTCACTGTGTGACCTTGCTGCCTCTGAGAGCCGCTTTACAGCATCACTCAGTGTCACATTACTGCTGAGGTCATTCTGACTGCTCCTGCATCTCTCTGTGTCCTTCAGACACAGTCATACTCTAGAGAGGACATTACACACAGCTAGAAACATACTATGCTTTCATTTTCATCTTAAAGGGACTGTTCACCCAGAAATGAAAATTGTTTCAAATGTATGTGAAATTTGTACACAGTGCTTTTCCATAAAACTGTCAAGCTCCAAAAAATCAAAAATCATTGTAAAATAGTCCGTTTGACTCATTTGTCCAAGTTAAAAAAATTACGCATTTTTCTCTTAATTTTTTTCTTAATTTATAATAAATTATAAAAAATATATATATTTAATATGCTCTACAGTTCAAAACATTGGGGCTAGTAAGATTTATTTTTTATTGAATTAAAATGTTTATTCAGCAAAGACACATAAAATTGATCAAGAATGACAGCAAAGACATTTATTATATTACAAAAAAATTATATTCCAAATAAATGGTTTTATTTTGAACTTTCTATTCTATTCTATCCTAAAAAATGTAACACGTTTCCACAGAAATATTAAGCAGCACAATTAGAGTGATTTATGAAGGATCATGTGAAAAAAAAGCAGCTTTGCCATCACAGGAATTAATTACATTTTAAAATATATTAAAATAGAAAATGGATATTTGAAATTTTAGTAATATTTCATATTATTACTTTTTTACTTAATTTTTTGATCAAATAACCGAAGCCTTAATGAGCATAAGAGACTTTTTTCAAAAACATTAAAAAATCTTACTGACTCTGAACTTTTGAAATATATATATATTTTAAATTTTTTAGACTGCATTTATGATGCTTTTTGGTGGGTTTTATTTCTTTTTGGAGCTTGACAGATGTGGTCACTATTAATAGTCATGCTATAGAAGGAGCAGCGTAAGATTTTTCAAAAAAATTCTACTTGTATGTTTTATGAAATAATAACCCCATACGGCATTTGGAACGGCATAAAGAATGACCAGATTTTCCTTTTTGGGTCACCTATTCCTTAAATGTTGATAACAAGACAGTTAAAAAACACATAGCATTACCCCACTAAACCATTTAGAAATATGCAAATATGTGTAGATTTAGTCAATCATGTTTTATGTGCCACTTTCTGTTCATTCCCATTCATTTGCCTTTTTTGTCCCACCAAAAGTTGCATGAGGCCGCAGGCCTGAATCAGGTCGTCCATCATCCTGTGTGACGCACCGGCCGGCACCAGCACTGAACACTTAACATGCATGACATCAGTCACACGGCCTGTGCACACTGAGCATGCTTGAGCTCAGCAGAGCGTACGTTTGGTATCTAACAGGTTCTGTCTCCCCCCGGGTTTGTGTAGGTGGCAGCGCCCTCATGACTCAGTACTTCCGGGGCAACCTGACTGGACTCATGATCCGCTCTGGCAAACTGGAGAACAAGAAAGTTATCGACTGCCTCTACACCTGCAAGGAAGGTCTTGATGTGCAGCTTCCAGAGGAAGTAGCCTCTGCTGTGAAGGTGAGAAATGTGAATGAGTAATGTGGTCTATGTAAATGAAGTTTTAAAGAGACTGATGACCAAAATGCCTTGCGAAAGCGTCAAAACGTATGATCTCTGAGAAATAACTCATGGGTATTCTACAGTGTTATTTTAGTATTATTTATTTACATTTAGACATTTAGCAGACGCTTTTATCCAAAGCGACTTACAAATGAGGACAATGGAAGCAATCAAAATCAACAAAAGAGCAATGATATGCAAGTGCTATAACAAGTCTCAGTTAGCTTAATGCAGTACACGTAGCAAGTTTTTTTTTTTATCATATAATAAATAAAAAGAAAACAGATAGAATAGAAAAAGAATAGAGCAAGCTAGTGTTAGAGGCCTTTTTTGCTTTTGTTAATTGTATAATAAATAAAAGAAAACAAATAGATAGAATACAGAAAGATTAGAGAAGCAAATGTTAGTTTTTTTTTTTAAAGAAAACAAGCAGTTAGTAAATAAATACAGTGCAAGTCTAAAAGGGGCAAGTTGTTTTTTTATGACCATTATAGTGTTTATTAATATTTTGAATTAGCATTTATTTTTATATTTTCAGTTTTCAGTTTTATTTTAGTTTAATTTTTAGTCATTTTGGTATATGCTTTTGTCATTTTTTTCGTTTTTATATTAATGTTGCTTAATAGCTTTAATTTATTTTTATGTCAGATTTAGTTTTAGTAATTTTTTCATCTAATATTTTTAATATTTTAATTTGAATTCCCAAAAATTATTTTTAATGCCAATTTCTGTCATGAAACTAGATGGCGCAGACTGATATGGATCGTTAACACAAACTGATGATATTCACAGTGTTAAACAACTTAGCAAAAGCTGATTCATGTTGCATACGCAGCCAGTGAGCTTACTGCATAACATTTAAATGGCTGGTTAGCATTCACTAGAGCATTTCACATAGAGTTCCTCTGAAACCCTCCACCTTCCCCAGCTCCACCTGTATAGTTCTGCTACAGGTTATTATATATGCTATTTGTGCAGCAGCAGTATGTCTTAAATACTCACAGCACTGTATCAGCGTATGTATTGGCAGTAGCAAGTTCCTGTACTTGCTTTGCAGCAGCAGCAGCAATAATCTACAAATACAGCAATAACCAACAGTAGCAGCAATTCAGCAGTGTAGCAGATCTGTTCCGCCAAGACCAAATACATTAACATTGTCATTTCCATTACCATGCTAAAATCTTCTGAGAGTTGTCATGATAGAAATATTTTTAATTTTTGTCAGAAGGATAGTTCACCCAGAAATGAAAATTCTGTCATCATTTATACACCTCATGTTGTTCTAAACCCTTAAGACTTTGGTTACTATTTAAAACACAAATTAGGGCTGCACGATTAATCGAAATTAAATTGCAAAGGCGATATCGCGATCGCGATTAGGCAGAAGCTGCGATTGTCATGCGTATCTTTCAGTGAAGCACGGTTCTGTGATCAGTAGTAAATCTCCATCCGAAGGCCAGAGGGCGCTCTCGTGCTGAAACCCCAAATACGCCTCGCAGAAGAAACCCAGGAAATCCCTATAGCGGTTGCTGAATAAACAGAAGATTTAACTGCTTTCATT